TGAAAGTAAAATAGATCGATACCGCTTTTTTAATAATCTATTTGATATCAGCATATGAAAATATGCTGATGTCAATTATATATTATATATTATATATTGATATCAACAGTATATTATTTTTCAAAGTATCAGAAATGGATAACAAAACTGCTATTTTCAATGACTACTTATTTTTGTCCAGCTTTAACATCGGTATCGATATCGGTTATCGGCTACATGAGTTTTAAAATATCGGCATATCGGATATCGGCCAAAATCCCAATATCGTGCATTCCTACTTTCTGCATATGCACACTTTAAGGTGTATATCTGTGGTGAGCTACGGTTTCAGACCATTGATCTCTATTTATTCCAGTGGTTCCCAAAGATTTTCTTCTGGGCCCCCCTTTGGATTACAATAAAATATCCACGCCCTAGCATGTATTATGGGATTTGCTGATCTGTCTGAATGGCAAGTTAAACGAGTTCACTATATAGTTCACTATACAGTCCCCGCTCTGTATAGTGATTGAGGGATTTAGTGGTTAGGGCGTACGTTTCTGCACAGTAGGCTTGTATGAGCTATGAGAGCAACAAGTTTTAAACGGAGGAGAAATGGGCTTGTGCACGCTCTTGCACACATTTAATAAGCCTTCCCTTGGGAGCCGGTACAGGGTTGTTCAGGTGTTCATTTTTTTTTTAAAGTGGAGTGGGTGGGTCTTTGGAAAAATTCGCGAAAATCCTCCACTGTACCTTTAAGTGCAATGGTGTGACCTCAATTCCTTGCAGTGGTTCATCCAATCATGCAAATATGACCAAACGGAGCTTCGTACTAAACCGTACAGCTGTGTTACTTTAAATTCAGCAGTGTTTTATTTCCTTATATACTAAAGGATGTGCCATTTGTCCATCTAATTTAAAGTCAGCATTGGCTTCAAGTAACATCCATAAAAAGTATGCATAGGCGTCTTATTTTGTAAATACTAGTCATAATACATGAATAAATGTAGGATTTAATAGTACAGGAAGTTGTTATGCTCCTAGGAGCTTAAAAGGAGAAGAAAAGGAAGCAGACAGAAAAAAGGAGCATCAATCAAAGGTTAAATAAATGATTGTGGCTGACCAGGCGAACTCAGCTCGGGACTTTCAGTCCTGGGAGGATTAACATCAGATATCTTCTGTTCAGGTCCTTCTCCAATGAAGCATAACCAAACCACATGAAGCATCCAGCTCCATGCCTCAAAGCTGGCACAACATTCCTTTGCTTGAAAATGCTGTTTTTGCTGCTGATGTTTGTCTGCTTCCTGTCTGGGAAGCTTTATTTGCATTTTCTGTTTTCCCCAGAGAGCAATGACGTCCTTTGAGAGCTTAGGTTGTGTAGACTGTTTGTCTAAAAGTGGGTTCAGTTCAAAGGTTTTTTTTTTGTTTGTATTTTTTATCCTTCTTTTAGAGTCTTGCTGTCTGTTTTTAGGTTAAACCTGCTTAGATGGCTCTACTGCAGTGCTTTCCTAAAGTCGGTGTTCAAAAGTCGTTATTGTTGACTTTTTTAGAGGAGTGACTGATTTCAGATCCTTTTGAGACTTAAAATCTCTGACCGGACCTGTGAGCTGCTACCTTTTTAGTAAATCCCTGTCGGCTGCCTTTGATCTCAGCACGGTGTTTGCTCCCACTTCTCATTACGTTCACCTGATTGCTTGTTTGATTTCAGCCATTATAAATGGGAATTAATGTTTGGTTCTCCAAATGTAAGCCTCACCAAAAGTCCTTATATGGGGAGGCAGAAGGAGCCCAAGAGAAACAAGAAGAGATGTTACCTTGGTATAAGAACAAGACAAGCAAACACAACTCTCTACAGAAAAGGGAAAAAAAATTTAGGGTCAAGCAGAAGATTTAAAGCATCTTTAATCAGTGGAAAGCTCATTTTAAAATTCCTATTAGACAAAAAAACAATATATATATATTCCCAGTAACTATTGTGTTTTTGGGGAAAGTTTAATGACATCAATGCATATTTATGCCAAGAAAAATAAAAAGTTAGTCATCTTAAGTTTGATTGAATGAGTTGCTGTAATGCTACGTTCAGACCGCACGCGCTAGAAGCAGCAGAAGCAGTTAGTTCACATGCAATGTTGATGGTTGCACGCATCAAGGTGCAGCAAAAGTCCTGCAGCACGTTTTGAGCAGCGCGTCTGAGCATCTGAAGCAGCACATCAATGTCAAAACCTGCCTGCAAAATATATTCCCTTTTATTATTTAGGTTCCTGCAGTTTGGATTATGTACGTGAAAAACACCTTCCAACTGCAACAAATAGTAGCGGAAAACCCACAACACGCCGCCAAGCAAGAGGCTGCATTGAACGTGATTTCCAGAGTACCGCAGGTGTACGGGGTTCTGAGCAGCTCAGTGAAATAATATTTGAAGGCAGGATCATAATCTTGATGGACTGACTGAACAGATGAGGTTTTCAGGTGAACCTTCTCACCTAAAAACATGTTAAAACTACTTTTTACCCACTGATCACAGCAAATATAGCAAAGCAGCACTCTGCCATTGAACAACAGGAGAAGCAACAGGAGCAGCAGAAGCATCAGCCGCATTTTTAAACACTTTACTGGACGCGCTTCAGGAGCGGCAAAGCTGCTCTTGATGCTCTCCTGAACTTAATGTGAACAACCAACAAAAATGAAGCAGCAAAAGCTTTTTAGCTGCTTCTAGAGCTTGCAGTCTGAACAAAGCATAAGCCTCAAAGTCGTCTTTCAGTTTCTGTTGCTGACCTATTTTCTCTCTCCTATTTTCTTTCTGTCAGAAACCGAGGAAACCACCTCCACCGTCGAAAACAGCAGGTAAAGAACATTTTACATGCTCTGTTTGGTTCAGTTAACAAATCTGAGCGTTCGCTAAGGGCTCTTCTTGGCGATCTGCCTGTTATCTGTTACATGTGAAGGTCAGTACACAGTGGTAAAATAAGTTACACAGAGTGTTAGAGGCATGTTTTTTTATCAGTGACCTTTCTCCTTCCTCTCGGGGTTTCTTCAGATGTTCCCAGTTTTGACATATGTAACTCCACTGGCATGTTTTTGGTCCACTTTAAGCCAGGGCCATTCAGGCATCTTCCAAAAACAGTCAACAGGGAGATGTTAGAACTGATTTTTCTAAAGCTGCATTGGTTTTGTCAAAAGGCTTGTATTTTTGTCAGCATGGATGAGCAGGTGTTCCACTCCAAGCTTTCCCTCCGGGCCCTGAGCTCTTAACTGAGTCTATAAAGATCCCATCAAACTGAATTAAGACAGTCTGCAGCCTCCAGGATCTCACCAACACTTCCATGTAGTTGCATCGTAGCATCAAAAGGATATTTTTTTTTCTGTCTTGACATCCTCACTTTAATTTGACTTTACTTTCTACATTATTCCCTTAAAGCCACCATCAGCTGTTGCATTTCCAAATTCTCCCGATTGGTGCCCGACTTTACACGAGTGAATTAAGTGAATGTGACTGGTTGATTATCAAGGGGGCGGGATTGTTGTGGCGGAAGGTTCGCAAGCAAGTTTGGTTGTGGCCGGTTTATCGGAAGCAGTGCTGCTAATGAGTTAGCAACTTAGCGCTAGTAGGTTCCCAATGGTAAATTTCATTGGGACCAAGTAGCACTAAATTGGTGACTTAGAAACGACACTGTCAAGGAACGCTATGGACAGAGGAAACATGCAAGAGGAGGAGAGTTTAGTGTCGGAGGTCGGGGATGAGTCTCCTCCATCGTACATTTTTTATTTAGCGGAGGAAAGCGGGAATGAAGATGTTGTGGAAGAGGACGCCAGGGCGGCAGAAGCTTGGTTTGGTGTAGAAGGCTTCCAGCCGTACGCTCGCAACGCTGCCAGTTCTGTTAGCTCTACGCCTGCCGAAGACACAGACGTCCATCCCTGTTACACTGGGACGGAACTCAATGGGAAAGGAAAGGATTCTGATTTCAACTGTTGCGTATATTAGCTGCGACATATGAATCAAGATGCTTTGACCAAAAACATTTGTTTGACAGATGACCGTTGATATATGATTGGCCGAATTTAGGTGTTCAGGCTGACATAACTGGCCTGCATGAGATAACGAAGAAACCCCCCCACAGATTTTAAGACAGGGTTTTATAAAAAAATTAGAAATTTCCTAAATTTTGGGAAAATATTATCTGATACAGAGTACATTTATATACATGTTTAAGCCAGAATGATTTGACATTTAAATATGATTTCCCTACGACATTAAGCCTTGCTGTTTAAAAGTAAACATCATAAATATATGTTTCATCTTATCAGCAAACAAGACCTTTTCCCCCCTCCTAGTGATTTTAATCTGGTGCAGGGCTAAATATATATTTTTATATTCTTGGGGTTTTTACTGATCAGTTTGAGCAGATCACAGTAAGGCTGTGGATCTGAGCTGGATTGGAAACATTAATCAATATGAAACTATTTGAGCTGTTGCTGCTCTCCATCATAACCAAACGCAATCCCACAGCTTCCCTTTGACAGTCTGACTGGTAGAATTAGCGTTCCAGCTCTATTTAAAAAACAAAACAAAAAAACAGAGGACCTCAGAATCTGCCTTTGTGCAATTTGGAGTGGTGTGCACTTCTTCACATCTCGTACCTCTGTTCTATTCAGCTTGTTCTGCAGTCATTCCACCGATGAGCATTTGATCTCTTTCAGCCAATAAGAGACAAGCGCTTCACTTTGTGGCCAGTTGTTATAAATAAGTGACACCTGCTGCAACAAGGCTCCTCCACTTTCCAATTTCCATCCAGATTCCCACACTCTTCAGACTTGTTTACCTTCAGATTGACTCTACAGAGCACCATTTATGAAAAACCAGCCGCCACAGAAACAGTTTCTACCTCCAGCTCACACTCTGAACACCAACAGTCTGACTGGTACCATGCACTTTGCACTAATACGGTCGTTGGTTCCTCTTTTGTAAAAGCATATTTATATATAGATAACGAAAACAAAACGAAACCCAAACATTTCAATTCCTTTTTTTTTTGACAGTTTTAACTGAAAATGTGATCAAATTGGAACCAAAGTCAAATTTCCTGGCTGTGTACACACTTGGTGATTAAATCTATTTCTGGGGACCCAAATGATGTTTGAGGCTCCACAATATCACCACAGAAGTTTAATGCAAGTTCAGTTTTAGCTTCCTTCCTCCATAATTTGATATAAAAGGAGAGAAAATACATGTATCATCTGCATATAATCGGATCTTCATCGTGAGCCATAAAATATAACCTCATGATAATATTTATTGTCCGTGTCGAACAAGATTTTCACTTCCAGAGCTGAGATATATTTACATTTTCTTTTCAATTACAGTATATGCTATAATTGCTTACTGTAAACCAGTGCTGCCACTTTTTGAGGTGCTAAAGGCTCAGAAGCATTGAGGTTTTCCTGTTTGCTTCATAAGCAGCGCTGTGTTTTCACTCATACCGTGCTACACGTGCACTTTGCTGCAGTTTCCTGGGGGCTTCCAAGACGACTGTTTTTGCTCACTTCCTCTTCTTGAGACATTTCATCTGTCTGACAAACTCCTGGATGCTTATGCGTATGATGCTAACTGGTACCTGGCAGCAGGTTTTCTAACGTGTTAAAGAACAGACGGCGGGGCGCTGTTCATTCTCACTGTCGCCTGTTGAACGAGTTGGGTCGCTGACAATCTGGACCATGTTTCGTTTTTCAGCTTCCAAGCCAGAACTCCCCAGCGCTGAGAGGAAGCCTCATCTCCCCCGGCCAGAGGACAGAGGTACAGCTGGATTCCCCGTCCTGTCTCTTCTCATCCTTCCATCTCTTTATACCACCACTGACATTTCTGTCCAATTTCAGCTCTCAGGGCAATAAATAATCCTCTGTTTCATCTGGGTCTCGTTTGTCATGCGTTTCTATATTTTCCTGTTCCAGATCTTTCATCCTTAAGAGAAAACATGCTTGTTATGTTTCTCTTTGCTGTCGGCTTCAGTCCTCTGTCCTCTTCCAAGCTTCCTTCTGATAACCATCATTTCCAAATGATTTATTATATTACTGACTTCTATTCTCAGTGTAAGAGTGGATATAGAAACATTCACACAACCTTTGTTTTGTTAGAAATCTTTCTATTGGTTTTATTGAGTTTTAGTTATGTTCGGGTAGTTAAAATGTAAAGTCGACTGTTATCAGCTTCATTATGGGAATGAATGGATTTGAGGTTGGCTCAAAAAAAAAAAATTTTGTTTCCTTTAAGCTGTTGTCAAAATCAGAAGTTGATCAGCCTGAGTTGATAAATGGGTCAGTGGTTTGTACAGAAGTAAGGTGTTGGTAGTTTTTGTTGTGATTAAAGCAAAATCTTTGACTTGTTAAATTTCAACAATAATAAAAATGGTGTGTTATAAACCTAAACACAAACTTGAAACATATTTCCGGTGTGACTGAACTGACCTCATATATATTGGAAAAGCAACTGCTGCAGTTTTGGTTATTTAATTACTTGATGCATAATTAAGGAAGATAACTCTGCAGAGAGCTGATGAGGCGTGTTCAAAAAAATGAGTGACAGCAGGCAGAGGAAGATTATAGCCTCTATTATTATAGGTTTTCTGTATTTAAACATATTTTTATTTAATAGATTTTTTAGTTTAAAATTTTTAAATTGCAGTAATATATTTTTTAAAACCAGCTAGAGTAATTTTCTCACCATTGCTATATATAATATCTAGGTTACCAGCCCTAGCTGTAATGAAACACTCTTCTGGAAAATGAACATTTTTCTCTACACTTTTTGTTGAAGGATGTTCAAAAAGAATGTTGCTCTAAATGTGTTCAAATGTAAAAAAATTTTAACAGAAGAGAAGAATCTTTTTTCTCTACAGTCACACTGAGAGTCGATCGATCAGATAGTAGCTGGTTGATGAGCGAGATCTAGCCTTCGTTAGAAATGCTGCCACTCCTTCTGTGTTTCTCTCAGCCAGAAATGTTTCCTTAAAGCGAAGGAGATATATTTTGTAAAGTAGGTAAAACTGTTTGGGTCTTTTTTTTAAAGCACACTGAGCTGCAGTGTGCAGTTTGAACTTAGGAATGATATGAAATGTCCTCTTATCCTGGTTAGAGATGCACCGATCCGATACCTAGATCGAATATCGGCTCTAATACCGAATAATCAGCTGAATCGGATATCAGTGATTTTATATCAGAGATCTAATCCAGAGCTGTTTACATGGAACTGTTATTTCTTTCTTTTTGCTGCTTATTTATTAGAAAATAATATAAAGTTTATTTATGTTTTTATATTCCTTAACTCAAATTTTTAGTAGAGTTCTAACTGTTCAATGTTTTTCTATGTATTTCTAAAAGCACTAAAAATAAGGTATAAAGAAATCCTGGAAATGTTCTTCAGGTGATAAAAGGCTGACTTAGTAACTGCCTTTATGAGCCTCTGAAGTTTCAGGTCTGAATCCATCGTGATTTCAGCTATAATCAGTGGTTTATTGCTGTAATAGCTGCAGCTATGTGCTAATCTGGATCTCTTCTCCTGTGGATTATTACCTCAGTTAAAAACATTTACAAAAAAGTATTGGAGTACTTATTCTTGTGAGATGCCTTAGCTGTAACTACTTAATATTTAGGGTTTTTGGAGTTTGGCAGTGTTTGCATTGAAATAGCTCAAAAAAATATATATGGGTTTATTTATTTGTTCCATTATTGTTAAAAAGTTCTGTAAATTGAAGTTAAAAATAAATGCAATCCAGAAATAAAACTTTTAAAACAATTTCATTCAACAGATTGGAAAAAAAGTTTTTGTCTATAATGTTGCAGTTTACTCAGAATTTTTTGTTCTATTTATTTGTTGTTTTTTCATATCATTCTAAAAAACTTTCTCTTTTTTTCGACTCACTTAAGTATTCTAATTTAGCTTTTTTCTGTCATGAGGAGCAAAGACACAGTTTTATGGATACATTGAAAAAATTGAAATTGAAAATACATATTTTGAAAAGAAATATAAAAAAAATGATTTAATCTGTGAATTGAAATAAAAGAACATGTAAAAAATGAAAAAAATATATATTTGAAAATACAAAGTCTAAGAAAACATTTAGTTTATTTTTGGATTGCATTTTTTCCCCCCTCAAATTTCAAATGTTTGTTTTTTTTACCTTTTTTCAAAGCTTTGTTTAAAAGCACTGCTCTTAATCATCCCTAACATCTCTACTTAATTATTCATAAAGTGCATTAATTAACATGTTTCTCCTCTCTGGTAGTTCATGTTCTCACTCTGAGATAAACTGCTGAAACATTCTTTCATTGCTCGTGATCTTTGCGTCCTCTGTGTAGGTTCTGTTAGGTCTGAACTATTCGCTCTGCCGGCTCACTCCTTACATCAGTCTGGGGAATCTTTTCTCTGCTTCTCTAAAGGCTCGTTTAAGTGTGAAGCAGATTAACAGCTTTTTCATTGGAAAAACTGCTTACATTCCTCCTTACTGCAGAATCCCCGTTTCTACGATCACCTGCTTTACATTCTGTGATGGTAACAAACTGCTTATGTTTGAAATGTTTTCACGGCTCTTAGAATTAAATTTTTCTACATGTGGAGGATTTTGGCGAATGTTTGAAAAGACCCGCCCTCTCCACTTTAAAAAAAAAAAAAAAAAAAAATGCACATGCACAACCCTGTACCCCGCTAAACGGGGGCGAGAGCGTGCATGAGTCCATTTCTCCTGCTGCACGCTCTGTTTAAAAGTTGCTGTTTGCGTCGCTAATACAAGCTTACTTTCCAAAAGAAGCATAGCAATGTTTTCCACTATGTCAGACTCACCACCGGTAAGTGAAAAGTGGGAAGAGCACTTAGGATGCCTTACGTAAACATATCACCAGAATAGTTGACAACTAGGAGGACCACTTACTTTGATGATCCACCTGGAAAAAAGAAGTATACCTTTAGTATATTTCAGTATACCTTTAAGACATCTTTTTAGAATAGGACTAGTTCAAGCAAAAGTTCACTTAAAGTTAGGCTTAGAATTAACATCTAAGCCCAACTTTGAGAATGTCTTTATGGACAAAGGATATTCTTTTAAGGACCAGAATGTTCACATGGAAAAAGGGAATTGGGTTGATTAAGAGGGGCGTGAAGGAAGCCATCTATGTTAAGAAAGAAAACCAACCTTAAACAGAGGTGGTGGACTCAAAAACCACCCGTCAAAAACCTACAATGCAGCAATTAAGTCAATCCCTTCCCACTATAATCGCAGCCCCTCTACAGTAGAGTGGAGGACCTCGCCTCCCCCATCGACACCCCTTTCAGAGACATAGACAGGTAGAGGGCTCTGCAGGTTAACAAAAGAAGCCAAACGACCCCCATTCCAAAGGGTGGACCCCTTCGTCCGTTTCAAATTGCAGGTTTTCTAAGCAAAAACAACGCTTTGTTGTGCTACTGTATAAAGCCTCGAACTCAACACTATTCCTGACATTTTCTAATTGAAAAAGCTTCCTGGATGGGAAGAGAAACGTCTTCAAACCTGAAAACAAAGTCCAATGGATTGTTTTTAATGTTCTTTTTTTGGAACCTTATTATCCTTTATTCTTTTCCTCATCTTTTAGCTCTTCTCACATAACGAGAAGCATATCCTGTCAAAGTGTAGCTGTGAAATTAGAGGCAAAAAGGTGAAGCAGTTTATTTAATCACTGAAATCATGTATTTATTTCTGTGTCATCTCCACAGGCGACAAGCCCACTCCAGAAGCCAAACCCTACAAGCCCCCCGCACCCAACCCACACAAGAAGCCGGTCCCTCTTCCACCCAAGAAGCCAGAGAAGCCCATTACTCCCTCGTTAAACCTCAAGTATGTGCAGTTTTCTGGTTATGCTGCTTATCTGACTGACCTCTGGGAGGCTGAGCTGCAATATGTTAACAGGCTCCCGTCATGTAATGCATTCAGCCTAATGCCACTCTGGGAAATAACGGGCAAAGCTTCAACTAATCTAAGCCCCTCACAGCTTTTTAAGAGACCTCTGACGTTTCATCTTTATGGCTGCTGGTTCTCCATCACTGTCAGCTTATGGTACATAACGACAAAACATGTTTTAGGAATATTAAATGGGCCAAAGGTGCACATCCATAACATAAAGGGATTATATCTCAACAGTTTAAAAGATGTGAAAAGGACAACATGTTCTGCTCAGCCCGGGATTAACGATGGTGGCACATTAGTTGTTCTGGAAATTCAGTCCAATGTGGAACCAGACTTGTAGTGTCCGCAATTATCTCTTATATCTAGTCCTTTTTTTTTCTTTCTTTTTTGATGACGCCACACAAGGTGGCAAAGAGGTTTTTGCCTCCATTAGACTCAAATGCTGTGAATTTACCCATCAGGACTTGTAGAACAATGACGTCAATTTTTTAAACGGAACATTAACATTTGTCTTTGTAAACTTCTGACCTGGATTAAGATCATAAAAAGGCCTTTAAAGCTAGGAGTTTACATTATTAGAGCTTCAATTTGCCGAATTTCAGAACAAGAGATTTTTATAGAGGGAGGCTGGTCGTCAAGTCAGGCTGATATAACACACAGAGAACTACAATCTGGCACTTGCTGCTAATTAGCCCTCCTTTATGTGTGGTTTTTGGCTTCTCCACTTTTGTTAGGACAATTGATGTCCACCTTTGTAGGATTTTTATCAAACAAGCCTGTTAACCAGATAATATTAACTGTTAACAATCAGAAAATGGTTTTAAATTTATATCTTAGATTTATGAGTTTAAATCACATTAATCTTAACTGCTCAAAACGGATACAAACTTCAAACTCATTCTCAGCTAATATTTGAAGTCATAATTCTGTCAAAGTGGCTGAAAGCTATGTAAAACTCAAACTTAAACTACTCCGATCGCACGTTTTCAACTTTTTATGTGCAAATTGAAAACCATGAGATGTGAGTTCATGCTCCTTTTTTCCTGCCTTTTATGCGCCTGTATCTCCTCCTTACCTGTGGACCTGTTACTTTAAACTCATGCCAACTTTGATCACTTTGATGGAAATAATCAGTTATAGTAAACTGCCTGTGATCGGCTACCTTTTCAGAAAATCCCTCTTCTTGAGGCGGCACTTTTTTCTTCCTGCTTGCATTTTTAGCAAAGCATCTTCAGGATAGTAGGTGTTGTCTACATATGTAACACATGTATCACCCAGCAGGATAAAACTGTGCTTCTGTACGATGTTCTGCTGATTAATGTGAAAGATAAAAGCAAGTTGATTAAAACCAGAAAACACATGAAGTGAGTTTACAGGGTTTCCACGGGTCATTATATCATTAAAATATAATTGTTTAAATTAAGGCCTTAATTGATGTTAAAATTCATTAAATGTGATTGTTGTGGCATTTAAAATGCTTTGGAAAAAAAAAAAAGTTTATAAAAACAATTTATATATTTGCGCTGAACTGCTTCTGGGTGATCATAAAGCCGTATGTTCAAGAAAGAAGCTGAAGACGGAGAAAAAGCCAGAGAATGGGAAAATGCACATTTATACAAAAGTGGCTGGAAAACGAGGAATTCGGGACATGGTTTTATATGAGAGTCATCGATACTTGTTGATGACATTAAAATCATTTTAAAGAGCATTAAAAGAGCTTAAAAAAAGTTACTCATAAACTCTGGTTTAGTTTTATAAACTAGTAGTTCAACATTTTCCCAGCTTGAAGCAGAAAGCTATTTAGCAGTCAACTGGGTTATTGAGCCAGTCTCTGGCTCGGTCCCTGTTCCAGCTAGGGGCGCTCCCCTCACTATCCTCTGCAGGGCTTGGTCCCTTTCCTTTCTAGTCGTAGAACAGTGGTCTGCAACCTGCGGCTCCAGAGCCACATGTGGCTCTTTGGACCCTCTCCAGCGGCTCTTAATAGTGGCTAAAATAAAGAGTTAAATAATGTGCTATAATAAATACCAGTATTAAAAGCTATAGAGTTTGAGATTAAAAGAACCAGAAGTATGTTTTAGGAGACATTTTTCTTTGAATTAGCTTGGAAATTATGTGTTTTTAATATTATTTTAAAAGCTAAAATGCATTAATTGTTTATTGTTTAAGATGGCAACTAATGTCCTATACGAGATAAAAAAAAAAGTTTTTTTATGTGTGTGAAAGAAGTCATGTTATATTTTGCGGCTCTAAATAAACTTTTACTTGGTCAGACTTGGGGCAAACAGCTCTTTGGATAATGGAAGGCTGCAGACCCCTGTCCTAGAAGAACCATACACATCAACATAAAACAACTTTATCTTTTCCTGTTTATGTGACGGCAAATAAACGGCAGCTGGATGGATTTATTTTTTATTGACAAGGGCACACAAACTGACAATTAGTCATAATCTACTAAGTAAGGTTTGCTTTGTTTTCTGCCACCCAGAAGGCTGAAAACCTTCCATTTCTTTTTTTATAAATCATTCTAGAGACATTGCTGACTGTAGTTATATCAAGGAAGGACTAGAGGACACATTTGGGCTCATTCACTGTTTATACATGGATTGATTATGATCAAATCTTAAACACAGTCCACCAACTGAACAAGTTTACATTTTTATTTTATGATATATCTAATATTTGTCCTTCATGTTTTATTCAACATGCTTCTCCTTCCCTCTTTCTTTTGCTTGCAGGCACAATGGAGAGGTGCCTCCTACACGACCAAAGTCAGAGTTAGAGCCAGTATTGCCAACGAAACAGAAAACGCTGTCTGGAGACTTTGGGGAGAAACCTTCTGATACAGGTAAGTCACCTCAGCCGTCCAAATCCTCCCTGCTTCTGTGAGTTATGGATTTAGAGAGTATGTATTCAACCGGTGTCTCGAATCTTTTTAGTCTTTTCCAACAAAACCTGTTTCCAAAAAGCTGTTTTCTCTCATGTGTGTCTGCTGCAGCTGCAGCTGATTAAAGTATGTCAGACACTGCAAAATTTGAAGTCCGTTTTTCTTAGATTAAATGCATTTTCCCTGGATTTAACCGGAGGTAACCGTTTCGTCTCTAATTGGTTCGTTAAGCAGGACTGAGGGAGAAAGTGGCTGTTCAGCTCCTGCAGTAGCGGCAGCCTTGTGTGTAGAGAAACCACCTTTCTCCATAGCAACAAGTACTCCAGCTGTAGTACAGGAAGTCATCTCATGTCTGGCAGGATATTTTTTTCAAATTTAGACATTCTAGGGTGTGTTAAACAAGGCCATCATATGAGATTACAACAGGATGATGATTTTAATCTTCAGTAAAATGTATTCATTACTAAGTAGCATTTACCTACAAAAAGAACTGATACAGATATTTTTGTCCTGACTTAGTTGGTTTTCTGGAAACAAAAAGAATCAATTATTCCATCTGCTGCTAAAATGTTTATTTTAAGAGAATAAATTAAAAATATATTTAAAAAAAGGTGTTCTGCTTTTTATAGAGCAGTGTTGAGATTATTAACAGATTTATTTCTAGACATAAAAAGTGGTTATCTGGTTTCCAACTAAGAGGAGGAAAACCTGAAAGTATCACCTTAGTATAGCCCATGCTTTGGTCAGATAGTATCTAGAGAAAATAAAGAAGCCGCCCTGATAGTTAGTTATGCTAACAGTGTTAATCAATGATTAAATACAAAAAATGTAAATAAAACCACCATTTTACTCATATATCCACCCAGTAGTTGTGTTGTTGACCTATTGATGTAATTTCCCTCAGTCTCTCGCCTTCATGTAGTCGAGCCTACTTCTACATAAGGAGTTACTAAATTTACAAACTTCTTACACCATCTTCTTTAACAGAAATTAGGTTCTGAAAGTCTAGCGCATTTTCCAATACAAACACAAACACTATCTCTCAGTCTATACTTCTGCTGAAACACGGACATGAACACACCACCAAAACAAACCCAACAGAAAATAATTCAGTAAATTGTTGGCAGCTTTCAATTCATAAAAACGCGAGTACAGACTCGTGTTTTCGCCAAGTATGTTCTTGAGAAGAACAAAGGAAAGTATGGAATCTGAGAAAAGGGAGCATGCAGCATAGATATATGGGTCAATTGGA